AGGAGATGAAGAAGACGAAGAAGAAGAAGAGGAAGACGACGATCGGACACGGAGGAGACGAAGGAGATCGAGAGATGACCGAGAGATCAAGAATGATCGACCGAGGATCTCGAGGAAGGAGGCCGAGAGAGTATCTATTCCGGCTTGGCCAAAGATCCATCAACTTGATAGCTGGAAGATGCAACTGCTGATGAATGTTCTGAGCGCATGTGCAGATCCAGGTACCGATGCATGGACGAAATGGTTGGAGCAGGCTCTTGGGTTGAACCCAGACCTGAATATGCTTAGCGATTCAGGTGGCGACAGATTTGCTACGATAGATATTAAGATGGCCATGGGTATGCAGAACATGCTGAAACAAGCCCCTGACGAAGCCAAGGACGTATACCTCGATGCTACACGACACTCTGAACTACGACATCAACAAGGGGTGATCGGGAAGGGACGAGAGTTGGTGGCATTAGTTATGCAATCATTCAGAACTTCCGATAGAACGGATCTTGTCTACCACATCGAGCATCTATTCAACCTTGACTTTCCTGGCGACAAGAACTTGGTTATGTTCAGGAACAAATGGTATGATTTGCTGCTGAAGATGAGGAGCGAGGACAGACCCAGTAAGCTGGCTCTCAGAGACATCCTTTACAGGAAGATCAAAGGGAGCAAGAAGATGGAGTTCGGCCTCAATGCCTACCATAGACTACCGGAAAAGCATCCTCAGAAGACGTATGAATTCTTATTGGCGTTGATCGACTATCAGATCAAGGCAGATCGGGAAGACCTGATGCTCGACATGAAGGGGAGATCGGTCAAGTCGATGATGAAGTCAGGCGGGAAGGATGCGGCTCCAGCAACTGGCAAACAGGAGAATCAGGGTGGCAAGGGCAGAAAGGGGAAACCCGGCGGACCTGATGCTGCTCCCGTACTCCCAAAAGCCAAGGCAAAGGGCCACGCTGGCAAGAGCGGCAAGTCCGACGGTGCCAGTGACAGAGGCAAGAGTCCGGGCGGAGGCAAGGATAACCCCTGCTGGTACCACTTCAAATCGGCGAAGGGGTGCGTGAAAGGAAATGAATGCACTTTTTCCCACAGCAAGAAGACGGAGCACAAGTTGGAGAGCATGTCAAAGGGGAAAGGAAAGGGCAAATCCAAGTCCAGATCATCGTCACCAAAGAGAGATGATGGAGCATGCTTCGCGTTTCAGAAGGGGAAGTGCGATTAGGGAAGCGCTTGCAAGTATAGGCATGAGCTCATCAAGAACAATTCAGCTCCAGCAACGTCAAATGACAAGGCGCAAGCCAAGTCGAAGGCTGCCGCCAAGGCCGCAGCGCCAGCTATTGCAAGGAGGGCCATCGCAATGCCCGCGATAGTCCTGAAGCAATCGGCTCCTGCGGGGAAGATAAGCTTCAAGAAGGACGTTGATCAGGTCGAACCGGATGAAGCCGAGACTATCTACCACGAGCACGATGACGACACGATGAGCGAATCATCGAGATGGTCTGGCGAGTCCGAGATCCCCGAGAAAATGGTATGGTTCAAGGAAGTGCTCGACGTCGACGAGAATGGGGAGATCACCTACCTCGAAGACGAGAGAAGGCAATGGGAACGAAAAGGGGAATGGTACGGTTATGAGGACAATGAGAATGAGCCTTAACAGTACGTGTACGTCGACGAGAAGAAGTTCAAAAGCAGTGATCATCGTGAATTATCAGCCTATCAAGTCCAACGATCATTGATACGTGCGAAGATACTGAGAGAAGTGGTGGATGATATATATAAGAAACACTACTTCCCGGTGACCAAGGAGAGCAGCATAATGTTCGAGTATGATCGGAACAAGGACGAGATCAAGGAATCGGCTGTCGACTGGAAGAAGCAACATGGTATGCCGAAGAACGTTTTCGCCATGTCAACGTGCATCAGCAAACGGGTGAAATGGTTGATGGACACCGGATGTGGTCATGATCTCATCGGAAGAGCCAAGGCGAAGAGCCTGGGCGTCGACATCGTGAAAGATGACGACAAGATCGTGTTCCAGACCGCGAATGGTTCCACTTCCACATCTGATGTGGCCAAGATAGTCGTGGACGAGTTGGACGAGACTGTCGAGCCGCATGTATTGGATGAGACACCCACGGTATTGTCAGTGGGAGGAGATGCATGAAGATGGGTTATGCATTTCACTGGATGCCTGGTAAACTACCTTTCATGGTTACGCCAAAGCAGGGATTCGTGCACTTGCAGGTCAAGGACGACATCCCATACCTCGTGAGTGATGGTAAGCTTCGGAGTAACAGGCATCGCCCTACGATAGACGACCTCAAGGAGCACTTTTCGGAAGTATTGGCGATGGTAACGAACGACGAGGCAGATCAGGGAGGTGACGATGAAAACGACGTCACACCCGCCGCTGCCGGTGAGTCCGCAGAGGCCGAGGGCGAACACCACGACGGGGCATTCGACTTCGGGCCACCCGGACGAGCCGGTCCAGTACGTCCGCCTCCCGTGGCTGAGGAAGTACCTGTGGATGTTGGGTCAGTCCCGCATCGACATGGTGATGCCGAGGCTCACGAGGAAGAGGTTGATGAAGATGATCCAGATGCCGGAATCGAAGTTGATGTATACGAAGGATCATCAATAAAGAGGAAAGTGGGAGTCCTCAAGAAGGACGCCAACTCCATCGCTCATTTGCTTACACACAGATACCGAAATCCTTTCTGCGAGTCATGCGTCAAGGCAAAGATGAGACACTTCAGATCACGAACGGGAGCCTTCAAGAGGGAGGTGAAGACGTTCGGAGACCTGGTGACGTTCGACTTCGTGACGGCATCAGGAGATCATGAAGTGGAAGGCAGGTATGCGCTCATCATCCGGGACATATACACCGGAATTATCATGGCTTATCCCACCGCGAGAAGAGACACTGACTCCGTCGTCAGGGCTATCAAGCACTTCTGCGGGAGAAGGAAAATCAAGCAGGTATATTCGGATGATGGCCCAGAACTGATCAATGCATGCGTGGAGCTGAAGCTGAACCACGATCTATCGCTGCCTGGACGACCGCAGAATAATTCCCTTGCTGAAAGGACAAATCAATTCATCATTGACCAGACTTCGGCTTGTCTAGTACATGCCGGTCTACCCACGTGTTACTGGGTGCAGGCCATCACCACTCTGTGCCATCTCATGAACATCGAAGAGGTGAACGGATCGAGTGCATGGATGAGGCTGCATGGCGAGGAGTTCAAGGGCGAGAAGATACCTTTTGGTGCGCTAGTGGACTTCAATCCGAGTGAAGCACGAGGGGGAAAGAGGGAGAAGTTCGAGCCGAGAGGGGAAACTGGTATATTTGCTGGATATGTGTTGAGCACTGGCATGCATTGGGCGAACAAATATCGTGCTTGGGCACTTACTGCATTTGCGGGTGCAGAGCTGAACATCAAGAAGGCAAAGGTTCCACCTCGGTTGAGAATGCCACATCAGACGGAGAGGATGATTCTGAAATCTCCTCTGACATTCCCAATACAACAGAAGTACAAGGTTGCCAACGAGACTTTGGAAGGAATTGAGATGTCTATCGATGCAATCGGTCTGGATGCACGTGACCGCCTGATCGAGGATGAGGACTACGAGCCTGAATTGCTGCAGAGTGACGAGAAGCGACTGCTTGACGATGAAGTCGATCAGATCGCTGGTCTACTGCTCGACGATGGCCCGGAGGTACTCGCCGGAGGTCGGGGGGATCATGCAGGAGAAGAAGATGCTAGACCGAGCTCTTCTAAAGGGAAAGGAGATGGACACTCCAAGGGTGATGAGAAGGTTGCGAGATCCGACCTTCCGCATGTGTCAGTTGGACTACCTGGGGATGGCATCACGTACGTCAATGACGATGGCAAGGAGGTTAAGATCGACAAGGCCGGAAGACCGTATCCTGTCGGGAAGGACGGATTCAGGCTAATGAAGACATCGAGACCTCCAGAGTTCACTCCTGAAGAATGGAAGATGATGAGTAAATATTACACCAAGGAAGAGAAGGCCGAGGTGAAGGGCGGTGGCAAAAGGAAAGAGGAAGATCCCCAGAGTAAAGAGTCTGATATTTCCGCGCCGGCAGAGGCACGGACATTACAGATGCCCGGTGGTAAGAGAATTCGAGCGATGCT